TGGCTTGAGCTCGGAAGCTGAACGTGACATGCAAGTGTCGCTGGAAACGGATTTAGGGATGGGTATGTTTGGACCATGCAAATCCTTTTCAAGCCTAGTTTCGTCCACCCCTCTCAACCACGTACACAGGTTTACTTTCCAAGGTACCCCACTACATGATAGTATCATTTATTTTTGTAGGATGACTGAGGAGGCCCAGTTGAGAGAGCTCTGGTGGCAGCCAATTGTGCTAGACCCAGCTGTGTGCAGAGAGAGGGTTTTCCCAACATCCCACTATAATGTCTTTGTCCTTTTAGAGCAGGAATTGGATTGGAATAATATCCCCAACTCCATTCAGTCCCAGGAAAGGTAGCCTGAGCCAGCCTGTGTAAATCACCTCCCACGTCATGCTGCATACCTTTGGACTGAGTGTCTTGACAGTGGCTTTTGTGTAGTTTAAGTGTTACAGGCCGTTTGTTTCGGTGTGTGGGGAGGTGGGGGTGTCCCTGAAAGTAAAGCATGACGAAGAGTTGATGTGGCATTACAAGTTAAGGTGGAGCACGGAGGAAGGATGCAAATACAAGGGCTTCAGCCAGCAGCCGTGGCTTCGTTGTCATTTTAACACAAGGTGCTCTTTTGCCACCCAGTCTTCTGGCTGTGTTTCCAACAGGAAAAGAAGCAGCAGTAAAATCCAGAGAATCCTCACAAATCCGTGGCAACTGCTTGTACCATTGGAATGGAGCATTGTTAAATCATTGTTAAGTCATTAAATAGCATAATGAACAGTTGGGGGGGGGGGTGAATTTTGTCTGCTTTGATGAAGCCAGCTTGCTGTATACTCAGAAAAATCCATATGTGGGGAGCTGTTTAAATCACAAATGTTGTTCTGGATTATCTAGAGCAGCCTCATTCATTTTCCATGGGTAAATTAATGCTTTCGGAGTATTAATGTGAGCACAATAGCTGCTCAGGTGCGTTCAGAGTTAGCTTGTTGTAGATGACATGAGATGTTTCAAGCATGTTGTCTTCTTTTACCTTCTTTGCAGCTGGGTAAAAACTGCATTGACATCAGGGACTCCCAGGAAAATGTGTACTGCTTTTTGGATCAATGCCTAGCAAAGTTAATGGAAATTAACTGCACAAAGCCCAGAAAGGATCCAGTGTTCGTCTAAACTCTTTCTGTCTTAGTCTACTCTCTTAGACTTTATAAATGACTGAAGGCTTTTATGGTCTGTGCCGCAGTTAGCTTGCCTTGTTTGACACAGCACTTTTGTAGAGAGTGATGTATTGGATGTGACAGTTTCATTTATTTCTTTTAGTGACTATATTAATTCATTTTTTTTTCAATGGCAGAGCTTTTGTATCTGTTCGTGTTGGTTCAGTCGCACTGGTTTGGGTTGTAAAGCAGGCAGACCTCACAAACTTCCTGGGTCTAATCCGTGCCTTGGTGGGGAATGCAGCCCAGCACCAGCTCTACCTCTTTCTGCAGCATTACCACAAGATTGTTCCCTTCCTCTTACTTAAGTAAAGCCTTAAGTTTCTCTGTAGGGTTAGTGGCTTAGTTTGAAAGACAAAGGGAGAGGTATAAGTCCATCCACTGGTAGGCTGTGTGCTACAGATAAGCCACAGCTCAGGCACAGCTCATCAGCATGCTGTAAGAGGGTAAGTTTGGTGATTCTTAAACAAAAGCTCAAGTTAGTGTGATCGTAACTTCTCTTTGTTTAAACTTGGTTGATAGCATGGGTTTAATAGCAAGATTTCAAGCATTCTGTCTGTGTGCATATGCTTGCACGTTCCTAAAAGGCACATGTTTTTCACATATGGGACCACGTATTTATGATTTCAGGAGGAGACAAACTGAAGAGATCCCCTCCCTGTTGTGAACTTAAGGAGAATGCTTTGGAAGTCCTTGGGCAGCTTTGGAGGTGCAAAGGACTAGAAAGGGGAAAACTTGTGTCACTGAGGAACTTCTGGTGTCTGTGAATGTTTATAGACTTGGGGTACTGCGTGCAATTCTGGCATCTCCAACATAAGGAGATGGAGCTGTTGGAGCAAGTCCAGAGGAGGCCATGAGGATGCTCAGGGGCTGCAGCACCTCCCATATGGAGACAGGCTGAGAACACTGGGGCTGTTCAGCCTGGAGAAGAGAAGCTGTGTGGAGACCTCAGAGCAGCTTCCAGGGTCTGAAGGGGGCTACAGGGATGCTGGAGAGGGACTCTTCATCAGGGACTGCAGCGACAGGACAAGGGGTGATGGGTTCAGACTGGAACAGGGCAAGTTCAGGTTAGATCTAAGGCAGAAGCTCTTCCCTGTGAGGGTGCTGAGGCGCTGGCACAGGGTGCCCAGAGAAGCTGTGGCTGCCCCATCCCTGGCAGTGTTCAAGGGCAGGTTGGACACAGGGGCTTGGAGCAAGCTGCTCCAGTGGAAGGTGTCCCTGCCCGTGGCAGGGGGTTGGGACTGGATGAGCTTTAAGGTCCCTTCCAACCCAAACCAGGCTGGGGTTCTATGATTCTATAATTATATATATTCTCTTCCCTTATCCTGTCATGCCCTAGTTTTCATCTAGAATTTTCAGAGAGAAATCTCAGTCCCTGTTTTCATATTTTAGTGTTTTCCATAGCATTGTCTGGGGGATTGACTGTTGCTGCATTGCTCACACAGATTGACACAGAACGCTTTTCCTTGGAGCTTGTATCTCCCCGTTTTTGTGCTGGCTCAGGCTGACTCATACACTAGATGTGGTTCTGATTGGGGCTAACATTCAGTTTAACAGAGATTTGCTTTGCAGTAATTTGTTAGAATGGTGGTTTTGTGCTTGTAAGTGTCATTTGTTTGAAGAATTGTCACTTTATGTAATCTAGTAGTTGAAACATTTATTTTGATGCTTACAAAACTAGCAGCTTAATTGTCTGGGGATGTATTTGTAGGTCTGGTTTGAGCCTGTTTGTTGTTTCAGGTGTCTGAGCATGAATCCTAGTCTGGCTGCAGCTATTAAAGATTAATTACTGGTTTGATGCTGCAGTCACACGACTCTTCCCTGCAACATCCCCGTTCATGACGTGAAGGCTGAGCAGCTCCTGATGTTTTCCTTAGTTCCCATTCCTTGCCAAACGCTCATTACTTCACTCGAAGCTTGCAGTCTTTAGGAGATTCAGGCGCTATGTAATGAGGCTTTCAGCCCGGGACCGTGATGAACAAGACATTTTACTTCATGCAGTAATGAGGCAATATTTCCTTATGAGGTGCTGTAATGCTTTGGAAATTTGTTCTAACAAGTGAATATTGGAGGAAGCTAAAACCTCCTCATCCTTCTTCCACCATCTTCTTGTAGTCTCTGTGCTGCCCTCACACCTCAGGTGATAATGTGAAATACAACAAAAGCAAACTAGTATATGGTGGAGAGAGACCTCCTTTATTTGCATCATTAGAACAGCAGCAACCCAAACTTTACAACATGAGCAATAATGTTTGCACTGAAAAGAAGTATTGAATATGAATATATCATATGAAGATAGGCTGAGAAAGTCGGGGCTGTTCAGCCTGGAGAAGGGAAGGCTGCGTGGAGACCTCAGAGCAGCTTCCAGTATCTGAAGGGGGCCTTATAATGGTGCTGGTAGAAGGGACTCTTCATTAGGAAATGTAGTGGTAGGACAAGGGGTAACGGGTTCAAACTGAAACAGGAGAAGTTTAGATTGGATCTAAGGAGGAAATTCTTTCCTGTTAGGGTGGTGAGGCACTGGAATGGGTTGCCAGGGAAGCTGTGAATGCTCCATCCCTGGCAGTGTTCAAGGCCAGGTTGGACAAAGCCTTGGGTGGCATGGTTTAGTGTGAGGTGTCCCTGCCCATGGCAGGGGGGTTGGAACTGGGTGATCTTAAGGTCCTTTCCAACCCAAACTGTTCTGTGATTCTCTGATTGGGATTTTGTGTGTATTTGCATCTTCTTGTCTTCTATGTGGAAGCATCTGTTTCCTAAGGCTTACTGTGGTAACCAGTTCTGATCTGTCTCTAGAATCTCAGTGGTGTCTTATTAATCAACCAAAGCACGAATGACTTCTCAAGTTGTTTTGTACTGGGGTTTTGTGCTGGTTTTGTACTGAAGTGCTTTACTCCATATTGGAACCTAGTGTACAGTATTATCCTCCCCAGAAGCGTGTTGTTATTCTGTACATCCCTCGGCAAAAACTCATCAAGAAGTATGTTTAATAAGGAAAGAATTAAGACATAGAATGTGTAGAACTGTGTCCAGTCCTGGGCTCCCTACTACAAGACAGACATGAACGTGGCTGGAGTGAGTCCAGCAAAGGACTGCAAGGGTGCTGAAGGGACTGGAGCATCTGCTGAGACTGTTGAGCCTGGAGAGGAGAAGGCTCAGGGGGATCTTGTCTGTGTGTATCCATACCCAATTTAGGGGGGGAGGAAAACAAAGCCAGATTCTTCTCAGTGGTATTTAGTGACGGGACAAAAGGCAATGAACACAAACTGAAGTACGAGAGATTTCATTTAAATGTAAGAAAATCTTTTTTACTTGTGAGGACCATGAAACACAGGTTGCCCAGTGAGGTGGTGCAGTCTCCATCGCTGGAGGTGCTCAAAACCCGACCAGACCCAATCCTGAGCCCCCACCTCTAGCTGACCCTGATTAAATGACCTTTCTAGGTAGCCTCCTAGAAGCATCCTTCCAACCTTATTCAGCACCCCATTTATCATGAATCATAGAATCACAGACTGGTTTGGGTTGGAAGGGGCCTTAGAGGTCATCTAGTCAAACCCCCCTGCAACCTTCAACTAGATCAGGTTGCCCAGGACCACATCCAGCCAGGCCTTGAATGAAGTCTTAGCCAAACCTCCATGGCATTGGTGAGAGTTCTGCTAGATATATTAAAAGCTTTGGGATCTGGACCATAAGGATTTGAACTTCTGTATAAAAGCTGTTTGTTATTAACTGCGCTGTCTTCTTCTAACGTTGCTTGGAAAACTGCAGGGGCTGTTCACTTCATCTGTGCCTTTTGTTTGCCCCTCAGGAGCGGTCCTTCTCGCCAAGTATTCGCCGTCGACTTCACGCTGGCCTCGCATCTGTTAGCACTTCAATGCTGATTTTATCAAATCTAATATTTCTTGGAGGAAATCACGTTGGAAAAATCTACTGGAACAGGATCTTTATGGAAGGCAAGTTCGGTTTTATGTGCTTTCTAGAGAACAGAACTTTGCTGCTGTTGCCTTGGGTGGGCTGAGCCGGGTTCTTCTGCAGGCTGTGTGACTACAAAGAAACGTTGTCTTTCTCCCATCAAGTCTCTAACGAGAGTTACCAGGCTCCTCTGTCAGTGGAATCACTGAAGATTGAATAATAAATGTGTGACAGGTTAGCCAGGTTGGATTTTTTCTCTCTGCTTTGCATTGCATGTACATCAGTGAGAACAGGCAGACTAAAGCAAACCCCATAGCTTCTGTGGAAGGGTAGTGAATGAGCTCTGCAGAACACAGCATAATTGAGCAGTTAAGGTGGGTTTGTAGCGGGCCTGTCAGGGTAGGGACCTTCTGAGTGTTGAGAACAAGGCCTGAGGACAGGGGACCTTGGGTGACAGCGTCAGCCTGTGGTGTTGCTGACTGAGCAGTGCGCAGCAGTGTGGGAGCTGACTCAGGAGACAAAGCCAGAGCTCAGTGTAAGCAGGACGAGCTTTCTTACTGCTGCCAGAGGCCCACGTTGTCAAAGAAGCGTCTTGTAGAGGAGTATTTCTTCCTCCTGAGGGAATTTGTAGTAGGGTTCTGTGCCTGGGAAGAACCACCACTGTTGATTGCTCCTTCACGCAGCGTTTCCTCCTCTTGTTGCTTGCAGTGGTTTAGAGATCAGCGCTGGGGTTTCAGGGTTCTATGTAACGTCTCAAATACTGGAACTCTTTTAAGTTGTGTACAGAAAAGGAGCAATTTATCTTCCGAGCTCAAGCAGAAAAACCCAAAGCATTCAAACAACTCTAAGAAATGTACCTTTTTAGCATAAAATACAGTGAAGCTTTTTGTTGGTATTGGGCAGGCAAGATGGGGTGAAATACTTGCTCGTGTTTGGGTTTTGCTCCTAAAACTCAAAATGTTTGGGTTTTATTTTCTTAAAAAGGCTTGATGTTCCCTTAAATTGTTTCTTCCCAGTTGGAAGAAACTGTTGGCAAATAGTTTCTTGGAACTATTGGAAGCTATTAGTATCTTATTATTATCGGAACTATTTTACTATTACTATATCATTATTATTGTTACTGTTGTTATTGTATATTATTATTGTATATTATTCTTATTAATTATAATATTATTATTGTTGGAACGATTATTATGTCGTTATTATTGGAACTAAATGGGAAACTCTTGGCAAATAGTTTCAGTAGAAGAAGCAAAATAGCTGAGAAAGTAAGTTTGTCACTTCTTTCCATCAACAACCAAAAAAAGCACTAGTGAGACTGTCCATTTCAGGTTTGTACCTCGATTTTCATCATGCAATTTGTGTATTAGTAATGGAGAAAGTACGCCTTCCTCTTCAAAAGGGTTAGCAGTTGGCAGCATGCTGGGGTTTGCATCTGGTGGACGGTGTTGGAGCAAGCAGAACAGTGTTTCATTAAACTAGATCAAGTACTGATTGTTTTTTATTCCTAATGCTTCTTTAGTCTATTGCTCTGCGTATAGCTTAAGTACGTGTGGCTGCTTCAGTATGAGGTACCAGGCGTCTAGGATAGGAGTAGCAAATTAGTTCAGTCATTTGCAGCTTTATCTCCATGATGTGTTAACCAAACTTACTACTTTTAGAACATAAAAGCTTTTGCTTAGTGCAGCTCACATTCTGCTGTAGAAATCTCAGTGTTAAGCTTTATATGCATGTATCCTTAGATCACACAGATGACCGTGAGCATATTCTATTGCTGCATGATTCTTATGTACTCATATGTACAACCTGAAATCTGCTAGGGTTTTATTGCATCAACACTCCTGCTCCATTGGGATTTTCCTACTCTGGGACAAGTGCTGAGCATTGAAGGCCAGACAAGGACAATACAAGCACTGACAATACAAAGACTATTCAGAACGATGGTGTTCAGTTTAAGGTGAATGTACCTTATCTGCATCTCTGTAGGAGATGTAAGAAAAGTCTACGCATGTATTTGCAGAGTGCAGTGCTAAAAGATAGATCTGTGCCTAGTCTGCACTGTTTTGGTGAAGCCAATTCTTCAGTATATTCAGACCAAACTAAATACTAGAGTATGCACTCTTGGGTCATTCCTTTGGCAGCCCACCCAATGACAGATGAGATCTAGCTGCTTGTCCTCAGTTTTTGTCCTTAAGCTCATAAAGAATTAAGTGGGAATGTGTTTGACTTCCCTCGAAGAAGGAAGGGCGGTGGCAGTGGGTGACTGCTCTTTGGGGCACAGGGTGTTTGGGGGGGGTATTTTTGCGCGTCTTTTCTGGTGTGATGCAAGCAATATGAAGTTCCCAGGCACGAAGGTTTTCTGTTTGTGCAATATGATATTGAAGGGCTTTAATTAGAACAGACGCTGACCTCCTGTCATCGGTGTTATAATGTTCAGTGCATTACTAAGATGTGCTAGATACCCATCTAGTTACTTTGAGTCAATGATTGTTAGCTTTGGGTTGAGAAGAGAGAAGATACTTGGTGAATTTCAGGTTAAAATGTTAATATTCTTGTTGTATTTATAACCTTTTGGATCTGTTTGAAATTCAGTTTAGTTTAGGAAACCTGAGCAGGGTTTTGCACCACCCTGAACCAAATCTAGAGAGTAGACATTTGCATGTGGAGAGCACGTCTGCATTCTCAGCAGCCTGGGCAGCAGGACTTGAGCTGGGTGGACCGAGGAGGCACAGGGCTCTGGAGCAATAGTGTGACATAAAGATCCCTGTAAGGTAAAGAACAGAACGCTGAGGAAACAAAGCTGTCCACCTGCACATCAGCTGCAAAGAGTAGTCGGTTCCTTTGTTAAATCCCACAGATTTCTGTCACAAAGATAGAGGTTATACTTGGAGGAAGAAAGTGGGAGAAGGCGTGTGCATTACCCAGTTTGTAAATAGAATTGGCATTTGTAGAGCACTACAAAATTAGTCAAGAACATACATGCTAAACTCGAGGAGTAAAATGCACCTTGGAGCAGAAATCAGATCGCCAGGGTTAGGTATAACTTCAGGTGTTGTGCATGGCTTTTTCCAAGTCTGGCAAGTAAGTAAATCACAGATTATTAGTATTTTAAAGGCATAAATGCCTAATGTGTAGCACTTTATAGTCAGAAATGGAGTTCTGTTTTATAATACCTAAAACAGTGCTTGGAGAGCAGCTTCCCATTAGCACGGGTGTGACAGTGGTGCAAATCTAACATGGCTAACTCTTCAAAGGAAGCTTTACTGAAGCTGGAGATGTACAAAACGCACTTTCAGTTTTGCTTTTTGGCTGCTGAAGAGTTTCTACTGTGTTCTTCTGCAAAGACGGAGTATTAGGAAAGACCTGGACAGTTGTCTAAGCATGGGGAGGAGAGGACATGGGGATGGAAGCAGTTAAACACTAGGGGTTAGACTGAGGAGGGGTTCTCTTTGGAAAGGTACTCTCCTGGGACCGGTGTTGTGCACTGCTTTTGGTTAAGAGACTGAATTATCTTAGCAAGCATGGCCAAAGGCATCAAGCTGGGAGGGCACTCAGGTATAGTGGGTGATAAAAGTATAAAATGCTTCCTGCTCTTCTCTGCTTTGTGAGGAGCAGAGCCCAGAGCAATGAGGAAAGCACACAGTACGTGTCAGGTGTATTTTACTTTCAATAGCTCTCTGAAAATGGGACAGGCATCGTTTAACTTCACACTAAATGGTACTTCAGCTATCCAGCTTACCTTGCTACATCATGAGGAGTGCCTTTCTTGAGGGCAGTTCATCCCATATACATCTACATTAGCATGGGATGGGATGCATTGTCACTCTTTGCTCAATTCAGGAGCCTTTCGTACAGGTTAGCTTAGATTAGAGTGGATGTCTTACATTTGGGAAGGTGTCCTTTAGGAAGCTATCCAGCTCAGAGTGAATTTCACCTTCAGTTAGACCTGATTCACCGCAGGAGTACAGAATGCCTGGCTAACAGAAATCCTGCAGTGAAGGGTATCTGCCTGTTCTACCACACTGCAGACTTGATGCATCAACAGCATCATTCCACTTAGGACAGAAATAAACCTTACCCCAGGATGCATTGACAGCACTGTAAGGTGCATAAAATAACCTCTTCTAGTGATGATCTGAAGGCTAAAGTTATCATTTGTGCAGGTTTTGTTACTGCAATTGAAAAGAAATTATAATCATCATCTGACAGCAACGTGATGGGAAGCGGAGGAGCCAAGACGATGAAATAAATGGCATTGTTTTGCTCTGAGAGGGAAGTATGGAGTGGGAAATAGGTACTTAGAAGTTTCTACAAAGGAAATAGTAACAACTATAGGTCCAGAGAAGACAAAAAACCTCCTGTAAAGTGTATCAAGGAAGCTTTAATTGAGGCAAGAGAACCTTTCAAGCTGTAAGACATGGCAAGCATTGAAGCACTAGGTGAGCTGTGTTGGGTTGCCATCTCGGGAGAACAGTCTCCAAGCAGACAGAAATCTGTCAAGCAATGTAGAAAGTGCTGATTTCCTCGGGGTGTAGGAGGAGCTTTGGCACAGCCTCCAGCCCCATCCTGAGCCCTGTTCTCCCTGGGCATTCAGCAGCAGATCCAGCTGCTTACGTGGAAGGGAAATCTGCGCAGCACAGCCGGCTTCTTGTTTGGCTTTTGATAGCTCTCCAGCAGGTTGGGGGCGATGGGGATGCTCAGAAATGCAGCTTCAGTAACATGTTCTAACAGTTCCGTTTTGAGTTTGATGGTCTGGGTGTGGGGGAAAGCCCAGAGTGCTGTGGTTGAGGTGCACCTCCGTGGGAGTCAAGGTGCACTTTCAAACTGCTGGTGGTTACAGCCATGGACAGCTTTGAAATGATTTGCTGCTTCATACTTCTAGCATCGAGGGCGGAGTGCCTAGTGTTGTATATGACTATTTCATTAGGGGAATTTCTAGGAGCATTTAAACCCAATCGTACTATGCAAAACTAAAGCTTGTTTCTCAATATCTATAGTGTTTGAGCACTCATTGAGATGGCGAAGCGCTTATTTGGCCTCT